AAAACTTGGTCAAGTCTCTTGCAAATGCTAAAACTTGGCCAAGTCTCTTGCAAGTAGATAAGACAATTTTGAGATGTCAAGACAAAACTTCGTCAAGTCTCTTGCAAATGCTAAAACTTGGTCACGCCAGATCCTGCGGAGACCACGTCTGAGGCCACCTCACACAGAAGCTGCTTCCCGTACTACATTTGTACTATAAGCTTGCCAGCTGTGATCTCACGAGCCCGATCCTACGAGAGGGTCGCGCAAGCACGCCGGATTGTGGGGAGCATACATTTGTACCAAAAGCTTGCTAGTTCTGAGGCCACCTGCGAGAGGGTTGCCTGAGCACCGGTCAAATTTGCATTTCGCTAGACGTTTGGGGACTTGACAGGCCGGATCCTGCGAGAGGGTTCATCCGGCACCCGTCAAATTCGCTTCACGTTTGTGGACTCGAGAGGCTGGTCAAATTTGGGATCCTGCGAGAGGGTCCCGGTCAAATCTGCATTTCGCTACACGTTCAGGCGTTCGACAGGCCGAATCCTGCGAGAGGGTTCATCCAGCACCCGTGATTCGCAGTTCGCTACACGTTTGGGCACTTGACAGGCCGGATCCTGCGAGAGGGTTCGCAGATAACCAAGAGAACTCGCATTTCACTACACGTTCGGGCACTCGACAGGCTTGGTCCGCCCCGGCTTTAAAGATAATTGAAAGAGCGAGATGTCAAGGCAATACTTGGTCAAGTCTCTTGCAAGTGCTAAAGCTTGGTCAAGTCTCTCGCAAGTGCTAAAACTTGGTCAAACTTAGCCCAGTCTCTCGCAATTGCTAAAATGGCTAAAACTTGGTCAAGTCTCCTGGAAGTAATTAAGATTCGAGATGTCGAGACTAAGCTTGGTCAAGTCTCTTGCAAGTGCTAAACACTTGGTCAAGTCTCTTGCAAAGGCAAAAACTTGGTCAAGTCTCTTGCAAATGCCCAAATTTGGTGAAGTCTCATTGCAAGTGCAAAACTTGGTCAAGTCTCTTGCAAATGCAAAGACTCTTACAAGTGCTAAAGCCTGAGCTAGACCGACCACGTGCTAAAACTTGATCAAATCTCTTGCAAGTGCTAGACTCTTGCAAGTGCTACAGCCTCAGCTAGACAGACCAAATGCTAAAGCTTGATCAAACCTTTGCAAGTGCTAGACCCGTACCAGTGCCAAAGCCTGAACTAGACAGATGCTGGACTCTTACAAGTGCTACAGCCTCAGCTAGACAGACCAAGTGCTAAAATTTGATCAAATTTTTGCAGGTGCTAGACTTTTACAAGCGCTAAAGCCTCAGCTAGACAGACCATGTGCCTTTAGGAAGAGCCTTTCGACCAAGTCTTTCGGGAAAAAAACATGTTACTTGGACAAACTTGGACGAACTCCCTCTTTCCAGGTGCTATCAGAGGGATAACGAGTACGGTGCCTGCCTTCCGTATTGTACCCCTGGCATCCACTGGACCGATCCACCGCAATATCGCCGCCCCTGGTCCTGCCAAGAGATCAATCCCTGGCAGCCGCCCGCACCCAGCCCGCCCAGCCCCAGCCCCTGGAACCCGTGGAACCCGGGGCAATGCTCCGCGTCCTGGCGACATGATTGTCGAGGGACCCGGAGATGCTGTGAGGGTGGTTTCCAATGCTACGAGAAGAACGGCAGGCGGTTTGGCTATTCTTTTTGGTGTTTTTCGCTGGGCAAGTGAGAGCATTCATTTGAGAATGAGGTTGGAAAACCAATCTGTACTACTGAACTGTATTGTTCTTGAAGCTTCTGTTCAGAAGAAAAGATTCTATATCATTCTATTTTATTCTCCCAAAATGGGAGTGTCAGAGTGACTAGCAGCAACTATAGCAAGCAGCAAGCCGCTGCAAGCCGTTCTAGAAAGTGTTCATGTCGAGGTACGCGGCCTGCCTGAGGAGCTGTACCCCTGGAATCCATCCAGAGGACCCGCCCCAGCACCGCTCCCCCTGGTCTTGCCGAGTTTTGTCCGGATCTCCAACTCCATCCCCCCCTCCTCCAGCCCCAACCCCGCCTCCTCCGCCGTCCTGTACGGCCTCCTGGAGTCAGAACTGCATGCAAAACCCCACGTGCTGCAACTCGGCACACAGCTGCTTCGAGAAGAACAACGGCTACGGCGCCTGCCTCGATGTCTGTGTGCCAGGCATCCATTGGACGGAGCCTCCACAATATCGAACCTGGTGGAGTTGCCGCCGGGTCGGGGGCCCCGAGCCGCCCGCGCCCGCGCCCCTCCCGCAGCCGATTCCTGTTCCGCCAGTTCCACCAAGCCCGCCTCCAGGTCAATGCTCTCCAAGTGGCCAGTTGAGAGGAGGTGGTTGCCTGGAGAAGCCCAACTGTTGCAATCCAAACCATCAATGCTTCAAGAAGAACAACTTCTATGGAGAATGTTTGGATTCCTGCACACCAGGTGTGCATTGGAATGATCCACCTCAATTCCGAACCCCATGGACGTGTGATGTTGTGGGGGCCCCAGCGCCTAGCCCAACACCAGCTCCAACACCAGCACCAACGCCAGCTCCCACGCCGACACCCACGCCCACGCCCACACAACCCACACCAGAGCCATCAACACCAGCGCCATCGCCAATGCCCAGCAGGGACCTCAGATTGTTTGCTTTGAAGTATCGAGATCACCGCGCATGCCAAGCTTGTTCCCCAAAGTTTCAGCTCCTTAATTTGTTTGCTGATGGAGACTGATCTGCAAAACTGATCGATTTCAGCCTTTCAGCTTGGCAAGGTGTGAGAATTGGGGTTCTGATCACAACCCCCTTTGCTCTTGTTTTCTGTCCAGCTTCGTTCCGACGTTTCACTGCATCTTTCCGCTGCTCGTCTTTTCGGGGGTGTTGGGTGTTGCCCGGCCACGAGAGCCGAGGCAACCCGTTGGAACTTCCCTTCTTGCACCCGTCCCTCCATTCGCCCAGCAGCGCAGACCTTTTGACCTTTCACATGTCGCCTGGCCCGGAAGATCACGGGGGTCGGACCAGGGGATTCAGGTCGCGAACGGAGGAGAAGACCTGGGGGGTTTGTTTTCTTCTTTCGTCGGAATGTGTCTTCCAATGGATCATCATCATCATCATCATCATCATCATCATCATCATCATCATCATCATCATCATTTTCTTCATCATCATCATCATCATCATGATCATCATCATTTTCTCCTTCTTATTTGGAAAGGAACACATAAAAAACATCCACGCCCTGCAAGCTTCGACACCCAACAACTGAGGGGTCGTTCGGGGGTCGCGCGTTCGGAGCCACTCCGGATCTCCCGAGCCGAGAAGCCATGACTACAGGGCTATAGTGGCCACTCCACTCCCACTTCTCGGACAGTCTTAGAGCGGACGTGTTTTCTTTTTTTTGGGGCGGACGTGTGAGGCAGAGACCGGTTCCCAGGATGCCGTTCGGGCTTGCGACAGGTCGCACCGATCCGCACCGAGCCCGCATGCGCCCGAGCAGCCCGGACAGCCCGGACAGGTACCGAGCCCAAGGGCACAGCGACTACCCGCCATTGAACGTGAACACCGGCAACCTCGCTGGGATCATGTGACCGTGTCGAAGGAAAGGGGTGGGGTTTCCCCGGAAGACGGTGGGATCCGTGCTGCCGTCTTCCTTTTCGACGGGGACGGGGGATAGACGGCAGCGCCCAAGAGAGTGACGGACTCGGCGTCTTTTTTCAGGTGAGTGGTTGGACACAAAAGAGAGTTGGACATCGGGCATCTCTGGTAAAGATGTGGGACTAGACTTGTGACTTGGGTGACTTTGGGGGAAAGACTTGTCCGAAAGAGGGGGGAGCTTTTTGGAAGATTCACCGACTGTATGACCAGCATTGATCCCAGCGACCTCTGGAAATCCCTAAGAACCTGATTGACTCTAGCTTTCGAGGAAAGGACTCTTTCTGGCTTCAGGGTTTGCTCTTGCCAGTCTTATTAGATCCTCTGCTCGTGTGGCATGTGCATCACAAGAGATCCAGGTGGTACATCCAGAACGAGGTGGTCTCTGGCGCTTACGGCTCCGGGAACAAGTTCGGCATTGAGCGGATCCGGCGCTTCAAGGCAGGGAGAGCTTGGGGGACACGCCGCTTCAAGGGTGTTGAGGTTCTGGGGCCTCAAAAGGACTCTTTGAACCCCCAAGGGGAGTGAATCACTTGATTGGTGATTGGTGAGCCAGGGCCATCTGATCCCAGCTGTATTTCGCAGCTTTTTCATGGATTGGTCCAAGGCACATGGAGTCTTTTCTTTGACTCATGTTTTCCCAGGTGCTGAGTCCAAAAACGCCAAAGACACCTGGGAAAGGCCTTATCGCCTGCTGGGCACTTCCCGGCATCCTTCCCACCGCGCCTGTGAGGTGATGACGAAGGCCACTCAAACGCTGATCGCCCCTCGGGCTACCGCCGGAGTGAGACGATCCTGGAAAGGTCATGGCTGATGGAAAGATCAGGTGTGTTTTCGCCTTTCGCCGAAGTTTTGGGGTGGAATCGATGGTCGAGTTTTCTCTCTTCCTGCCAAGCCCTTCTGACAGAGGGTGGTCATGGATCAAGGCAGCCTTGTTCGTCACGACTCGCGTGATCGCTTCGGGGAGTCTCAACTGCTTCCATGGCTCCCCCCACCGGCTGTACCGGCACAGACCACAGGGCTGTGTCGGTCAGACCGTATCTCGGCTCCCAGGCAGTACCAGCCCACCGGTGGCTCAACGGCACACCGAGCCACCGGAGCCCCCGTTCCCAGGCAGAGCCGCTCCGGCACGACACCCCCTCCGGGTGCGGAGAGATCCGGGTCGACGTGATCGCGTGATCGGCACCAGGCTGAGTAGCTGCAACGCGAGAAAAGTCGCGTTATAGAAGCGAATTCATGTATATGGTGATAGGCTGGGGTTGATCATTCAAGAGTCCACATTACTTTTGTCATCGAAAGTGTCTCCCCTGTCTAAAGTCTTGGCACCGTGCTGAGTGATGGAAGCCGTTCTGAACACCACTCACGCTAACCCTGGCGCATGGTGTGATTGAGGATATAGACGAGGAACTGGTGAAGCACCTTCTCTTCCATACCACCACTTATTACTAAATTAAGCATCTAGAACATCCATATGCCGAGTCTTTGATACTACTTCTCTCTCTCTCTCTCTCTTCTGTCTTCTCATTTCCATCCTCCCCCCCTCCCATTTCCAGTTACACCAGTTCACATCAGAGTGCTTTTCCCATCCCAGGATCTCAAGATGAACTTTGGTCTCCGGGTCGCCTTTGACTATGGCAACTGCACCGGGCCCACCTGTCGCTATGACTGGGAGAACCTCGCTTGGGTGGTTTTGTACTACGCTCGCGCCCCCCTGGGCTTTGATTGGGAGCTCTCCGATGCAGGGGAGCCAATTCCAAAGTGAAGGTTTTGATAGGGGTCGGCCCAAAAATGGGATTATACCAGGACCATCCAAGGGGTGTCCCAAGGGCTACCCACACTACCTATAGGCTTCCATTGGGCACCCCTTGGATGGTCCAGGTAGCCATGTTCTCAAGTGTTTTTGGGTCTCCACGGATGTTTTTTTGGATCGCTCGAGTGCCATGTCTTTCAAAGCGGGGGTGTCCTGAAAGAAGCCAACAGGAATCTGACCTGTTAGCAATCTTTGAAGGTTGAAGATGCTCTTTCTGCTCACACTTTGTTATTTTTTATTCCGAAGAAGACCTAATTACATCAAACAGTTCAGTGAATGAAGAGATGAAGAGTCTTTGTATCTTTTTTTCAACGTCTCTTCATCCCTGAGACTTGTGATTTTTTTCATAGGCTTTTCTCACTTCTCTTTCAAGTCCCGCCCCCCTTCTTGCTCGCCCCAGGAACTATGGCTATAACGTGGGTTGCAACAATTTGGGCGACTCGGCCGACTTGGTGCTCATGCTCTTAGAGCACCGAGCAGGTGATGGTGCGATTTTTTACTGGCTAGGTGGGTTGGCATTGGACTACACACACTCACACCTCGATGCCAAAGAGAGATGACCTGTCTCGTGTCTCGTGTCTCGCGTCTCTGTAGGTCGGAGCACCCTCGTGACCGCCCTCCTAAAAGGTGAGGGTCTCATCCATGGGGGGCTCGATGATGAGGGGTTGTCTTACAAGGCACTGCTGGGTGCCAAGGCTCCATTCTTCTTCTTGGCCAAGAATCCTCTCCATCAATCAGCACCTATCAATCCAAAGCACTTGCCCAGAACAACGAAGAGAGAGACCAGGCCATCTGCGGCAAGCTCCAACTCCACAGGAAAGCTCCAGCTCCAATCCTTCTTCTTATCATCCATCGCATGTGATAAGCCAAAGGCCTACGACCTCACTGATAGCTGATATGTGCAACCCTACGCCCCAATATCAAGAGCAGAACAAACGGTTTGTGTTGACCCTCTCCAGTGCATGTCAAGACATTCCGTCAGGATAGTTCTGCCTCAAATCGTCAGCGTCAGACAAGGTTCTTTTCCCTTCCCCAAGTATGAGACCAACTACACAGGTGGAATCTGGCCTCTTGGCAATCTTTTAAGCCGCCGTACGCGACACATGGTAACACCAAGCATCAAAGCACTCAAACACGTCCGAATTTGCTTTGGGTTTGGCAATTCTTGAGCCTCCAAGATATTTACAGTGGTTTCAGAGTAGATGGCACAGACCTCAAGATGTCCTTTACATGGGGGTTCATATTAACCACCCCTTGGGGTCTGTGCCATCTACTCTCAATCCACTATAATTATCAAAGCCACTTGAGACATTTTTCCACCGTGAGAGGGATGCGACTCCAAGGGGACCGCAACGCGAGACCGCAACGCCATGCTGAGCTGATCTTTTGGGCGCTTCAAGGCAACATGTAAAACGTGAGTGCTTGGCTTTGACAATGACCACAAACGATTCCCTCACTTTGGCGGATTCCGATTCGAGGTTGATCTCCGCGTAAACAGCCGCCATCTTGGTTTTCAGGCTGTCTCGCTGCGCTGCTTCGCCGTGGCTACGAAGAAAAGCTTCCTTCCTTTCGATCTTCGCTTCCTTGCTCACGCTTGGGGTTACATTGAATCTGTGCTGGGTCCTACAGGAGTGAACAACCAGCTGCCCTCGCATGAAACTATCTTCAACCCAAGGGTGTGTGTGTGTGTGTTGCTTGCTGATTGACAATCAATTAAGGCTGGACTAGGTCTTTGTGTAATATCAGCATAAGAGTTTCTTTCCTGCGAAACAAGATCCAGGAAACTTCCTTTCAGGATTCTTTCAGTGAAGGTCAACTTCCTCCCTTTTGCTTTTCTGTCTTCTTCCTCCGGTCCGTGCGCACTCCCCTTCCGACGACCGGGGTTCCCGCAACCCAGGTACAGCCTTCCGGGCCCCTGCCCCAGCATGCCCTTCTACCAGCAGAACGGCGCCTGCCCCCGGGCTGCAGAATCTTTCGCCCGAGCTGTGTGGACGATCTGAGCTGTGTGGGCGATTGGATTTCGAGATGGCCCCAGGTGATGGGAGGGTTCAGTAACGCCCAGGTGATGGGTGATGGCAGGGACTGGAGGATGAGAAATGTTTTTGGGCCATCCGAGCACAGATATGTACAAATAAGGCTGGAGGGTGAGTTGAACCCCAAGACTTGTGACGGACTCTCCACGCTAGGCAGGGATTGTTCCTTTCACGGCTCACTGCTCGCGCCCCAACAGCCCTAACCGAAGAGTCCCTTTATCACCTGACTTGGTGGATGGGCGAGCTCTTCCCAACGCCAGGGGTTGGCTCCCTTCTTGGGGGACGGGGTGGACCCTATTCCCATGAACCACACCAAAGATTCGAGAAAAAAAGAGTCCCTGGGTGCCGGCACAGCCTGGCCTGTTCGGCTGTCCAGTGTTGAATAGAGTAAACCTGAGTCTCCCAGGCTATAGAGTTCTAGTGAGTCTACTCAAAATCTACTGAGTCTTACAGGTCTTGCCGCTTCTTCCGATCGCTTCGACCGATTGGGGCTTTCTCCGGGATGGAGCCTGCACCCGACGGGAGCCGCGAGGTGAGCGGCTGCAACCGGGCGGGAAGTGTGATGGGACACCCACAGGTTCCGGCGACTGTGGCTGGACTGCAGATCGACTGGGGAGGAGGGAGAAGATCAAGGGAAGAACAAACCTCACGAGGAGGAAAAGGCGTGGCGTGTCTTTTTTCAAGCCACTCTGCTTGTGGTTTGACTCGGGAAATTCTGAGTCTGTCATCATCCATGAAGAGGAGGTTCAAGGATGAACTCAGACATCTACAGATGAACCCATTTTCATATCAGGCTGTTCCACCAAGCACCGTACCGCTGGTTCCCGCGAGTTCGGGCTGCGCGTCGGCCCAAGGTACCTGGAGCTACGTCGACTCAGGCGGGGGGGAGGGTCGATCTTCAGGGCCACGGTCATCAGTTCTTCGGGTTCCATCTCGGGGTTCTGCGAACGAGGTCGAAGGGTGAGGTGGTTGGACATCGCGTTTGGGTGCACGGGGGGGGGGGAACGAGCCCCTCTCTTCCAAATGAGGGGCACCCTTTTTGGACGATGGGAAGGGGGATGGAAAAGGGGAAAAGCTCTCTTCTCGGGGACTGATGGTTTTCGGTCTCTTTGGGAGTCCGAGAGGTTGCAGCGGTGACTTGTTCAATCACAGAGGTGGGTGTTTCTTCCTTCTTTTCCAAGTTATTCTGACAACCCGTTTTGTCTGATCTTTTTTGTCTTCACGTGGTTTGTTTTTGGGATGAACAAAGACTCGTGTTCTCCAGCCATTCTCCAGTCAGAACTGCAGCATTTTCCGATGTGAAAAAGAAAACTGCTGCTGCAGCACAAGGAGAAGAGATCTGGCTCGGGGAGCTCTACGGTGAAACGCACCAGAGCATGCAGCAGTTTTGGAATAACAGCCACGGCCTCAAAAACACGAGAGTGAGTCACCCTTGGACAAACTGAGCGATTTCAGCGGGCGGCGACATGGAGAACGACCCTCCAGACTCAGCGAGGGAAGCGTGCCATGGGGGCTCGCGACCCGACCAACGGCTTGAAACCTGCCATGCGAAGCCAATGTAGAAAAGATCTCTTTTCCTGCTCCATCTACTCGGAACCCCCTGGATTTCAGCTATTACTGCCGCTTTTTCTGGCCCACCTTCCATGCGCAAACAACTTGTGCGTGGTGATCTGTCTGAAGCGTAGGATCCTCTGGAATTGAAGGAACATGCCGATGGAATGTCTTAAGTCTTTGACCCACAGCCACATGAGACGAGGAGAGGCCAAAAGAGTACTCTACTCAACTGATACATAATGCATGCCATTATCGACAGTATATTGCAGGACACACATCATCCACATGCCAAAAAGCACCACCCGGAACCTCCGCTCCCCCTTCGTGCTTTGCTCCGCGCAGAGTTCAGCTCCTGCGGACGAGTTCGGCTCCTGCGAACGTTCCGAAACGCCTCGAGGTGACAACGTCACGGCGAATAACCTGAAGGTCCAGGCCGCGCGGAAGATGTTCGAGGAGAAGTTCGGAGCCCCTCGGACCGCGGGAGATGTTCGGACGTGCGGTTTGCGTGCGGAGCTTTGCGCGGACTGGGCGCGTTGTTGTGCGGCCGGGGGGGCGGGTGGATGAAGGAGGACTTGGATAGGTCTTGGGGATTCTTTGGGAAGGTTGGTTTAATTGGGGGGGATGCGATGGTTCGGGATGGGTGGCTTTTTTGGGGGTAATTTCTACAAGAGGAGATGGAGAGCGAATGTTGTAAGCCCCATAGCCTCATTTTGAGACTAATCATGCAAGCTTATAAAGCAAGTTGAGACCGATCATGCATGAGGATTCAGAGGTGATCTTTTTGACATGTGGCCCGGACATCAAAGACACGGATCGCCCAGCAAAGAAGGTCTCGGAGTTACGCAACTGGAAGAACTTGAAAGCCACTGGGAACTCATGGAAAATCCTCGGCATTCGGCATGGCTTTTGTGGACATATCGTAACATATCCCTGAAACACAGGCACTCGGAACATCATTCTCTCTCTTCAGGAGTGACCCGCGCTGGCGCTGGGGTGTGGTTGGACTTGCAAACGCCCCATCCGCAAATAGCGATCCCTGTGACCCGTCGCAGGTGGGCTTTTCATCGGCCCGACGATGAAAAGCCCACCCCTGAGTGCGTCCGAATCTGGATGGTGCCAGTCGGAGGCCGAACTGCCGAATCCTCCGTGCGACTTCGACTTCAATCGCTTCTACAAGATTTGAGGCAGCATAGACGGCATGCGGGCGGCAGCCTCGCGAGGGCGGCACGTGCGCGGAGGTACGTAAGACATCTCTGCGCGGGTTTGAGATCAAAGCCAATTTTCCCCTCGCTTGGGCTAATTCGATCGGTGCGCCTTCGTTTTCCAGCGACTCTAGAGCAGAACTCAAGACACTTTCCCGGCATCGAGCAGAACTCTCGAGCAGAACTTTCCATCCCTTTCCAACAGGGTCGATGTTTTGTTTTTCGATCAGTATATGCTGACAATTGAAGAGACCTCCTGAGTCCTGCACTTTCCTCCAAATGCCCGTCGAAACATGCATAGGCATAGGATTTCAATCCAACGCGACCGACACCTGCTACTCAGTGAAGAGAAGCACTGCCCCAGCAAGCTCAACGGGCAAAGCATACATGCGGGTCGAAGACGGCCATTTTCACGAGTTTGTGAAAAATCGCAGCTGCATGAGCCAGCCGCATGAATTGGGCAGCATCTGTTCTTGTGGATGCAGCTTTTGCATCGGGCCGATGACTGAGATGACGAACGGTCTCGGTCACATGAAGCACAGCTGGGGGAACAATGCCATCCAACATGTGACGAAGAAGCGTAACATGCTCCTTCCAGCTCCTTCTCCATGAATGATCTAACAGCTCAATTAGATTTGGTTGATTTTTGTGCCTCAGACATGGCAAGTTTGGTGATCATTGACCCATTTTGGACTCAAAAAGACGAGAACATGCTGCATGAACATGCTGTGAAACCCACGCGATGAAAAAAAAACATGTCTGCACTCTCAAGACGCAAGAATATGCATGTCTGGGGTGGCAAGTCGGGTCGGATTTTCATGCGTCAGATGCATGGAATCGTGTCAGACGAATGGGACCTTTGGAGAAGGCATTTGGTGGTTGGGAAGCAACATATAAATACTGGCAAGCATGGGTGCAAACAACAGGCGATTGGGCATTCTGAGATGTGGCAAGGGGGGTTCTGGTGTGGAATCTGACATGGTGCAAGGAATGCAAAGAGGGCCCCCAGGTAGCCTGCAGCATACCAAACATGTTCATGTTCCGTTGCCAGGGCTACTCGCGTATGTGCAACGGGCACTAGCTAGAAACCCGAAGTTCACCAAGAGCGAGTCTACAAAACTCATGGCTAAGCTGGCAGTGCAATTGTCCGAACAAAGCAACTCAAATTGAAAGGCTTTTCCGTCCTTCCTTCCTTCCTTCCTTCCTTCCGTCCTTGACTACCCATCAGCAGCAAAGGACCCTCCGGCCAAGGTTCTGCAACACGGGTCTCGAACAGTGGACTGCACAGGGGTCGGTCTACGAGAGCCCTGCTCAGCAGCAAGCATGGAGTGAAAGAAAGGCCTGTGAGGCGCCGAAAGGGAGCCACCACAAATCTGGTGGATATGACTTTTTCGTCCTTTTCAACCAATTCCCATATGAAGAATCCGCCGCCTCTGTGTTTTTGAAAGCATGCGAAGCTGGCTTCAATGCCGAAAGAAAAAGGCCAAGCAAGAAAGCAGAGAAGCAGTGGTGTGTGTCGGAGAAGAAGGGACGTCATCAAGACCACAGATGAGAGGTGAAAGGTCTCCTGTATGATCAAAGTCATTTGAACGGCTGTGTCCCCCAGTTTTCTCGGCAATTTGGGGGCTGGCCTTTGATCGCCGGACTGCTTCCAAAGAGAGAAGTCCTCGCCAAGCGCGGCCCAAATAGAATCTGCATGAGCTTTCTGCTCTTGACGAGCAGATGGAAGAAGTTCCTGTCCCAGGTTGATGAATGTCTTATTTTTCAGGTGTAGATCCAAGATTCGATCCATTTCGATCCATTGGGCTAGACATTGTTCCATTTTGGCGGATCGGTGTCACTCTTGCCAACCTGCCGACTCGCTAGCGTGGACAAAAACACCTTCGGGAACGTGGGAAGCGATGGAAACCGTCTCTGTCTCACCACCTTTGGGAGACGATCTGGGTGCTAAGGGTTAACTTAATTGTTGATTTTCTAGAAGAACTCGTGTTCCAAGGTATGCACTTTCTGGCCATCACTTATGGAGCTATACAGCGAATTTCGTTCACACGATGTGTTGACTCCCCCTTGTTGCATCCGGAACTTGGTTGGGAAGCTCTTCCACATGAGTTTGTGGAGTCCAATTGATGTTCAAGCCCTTCTTCTTCTTCTTCTTCTTCTTCTTCTTGGGACGACAGTTCATCTGGGCTGGGGGGTTTCGACCAGCCGCCTCCCAAGGCACTGGGTGCTGGGTTTGGAGATCTACACCGATCTCACGGCGGCGCGCGGGTGGCAGGGCGGGTGAGGTTGCCGCGCAGGGCAGGGGTTTTGCACCAGAACATGTAGACTCTTGATTCATCACCCTCGAAAGTCAGAAACCTCTTTCATTTCCATTTTCTTTAGAGTCTATAGATCTACCTTAGCAAGCTGAAAACATGGGACTCCCCCAAAAATCCGCCGAGATGGTCACATCGTGAACTCTCGGAGCCTGCTACTCTCTTCACGGGGACCGGACTTGGGACCGAATACGGCCAGGATATGCAGCCGTCGATTGGGCCGTCGATGAGCAGGCGTGAGATGGCACGCAAACCACCGTCTCGAGAGCTGGCGCGAGAGGTGGCGCGAGTGTGGTGAAATGGATGTGTCCGACCTTTGTGGGCTCCACCAACCCACCCACATGAACCAAACGTGAAATGGCCAAACACATGAACCACCACAAAAATATACTGCAATACACTATATGCAATCATACCCGGGCTTGTGTATACCCTAGAAGCTCCCTACCTGCAGCTTCCTGAGGCTAGAACGCCCATCTTCCGTCCACAGACGGGCATTAGCCCCGCATTCGCGCCCCTCCCTGTGGGCATTCGCGGGAAGAGGATAGAAGCGATGCCAAGGTAGGCATGATCCTCGTTACGGAGGCGCACCTGGAGCCCAAACACCATATATTTCCTTAGTGAAGTTTAGGAAATCCCGTTCAGGTCCCCTCTTTAAAGACGTCTTTGACTCCGGCATGAAAAAGACCCGGTGCCCGTTGAAACACTCGTCCTCTGGCCGGGGCCTGAGGCACCGCCGGACGGCGTTGAGCTTCCGGGACACGGCGCTGCCGCCGATCTTTACGATCGCCATTCAGACGTCGGGGGCGCCCCAGGGAGCGGAGGAATTGTTCGCGGGTTGGCAGAAGTGGCTTTTTGGTGGATGTTTAGGCACCTTCAATCTACTTTGAAAGAAACATCGGAAGGCCTGGACCGGAAGGCCAGTTTGTGCCGATGCTTCTCCACCTCTCAGACTGTCCGACCAAAGCACAAGGTACATGTAGATGCTCCCAATGCTGAAAATTGGGAATTGATCGTCAATCAGTGAATCCTGGCCTGGATCTTCCCAGTGACCTTTTGATCCCCTGGTTTGAGGTCACTTAATTTAGGGACTCCAAAAAGGTCACTGGGTCACTGGGAAGGTTCTGGGGTGGTTTTCCGCGCCCCCCCCAAGAAGAAACCTGTCAGGATTCCAGTCCAAAGACCCCAAAAATGGTCCAATGGTCTGCCGAAGCCGGACGAAGCCGGTGGCCCCAAAAGAGACAGCATGGAGACAGAACCTGTTGGCAGGTTGTGGCTCAAGTCGCTGAAAGGTGTTGGAGCCCCCGAGATGTGATAAGACCCCTTTTGCAGGCCATCCAGGACCGATTCTTCCACATGGATTCATCCGAACTCTTCGAGGATCGCACCCGTCCTCTTCTTTTCGGTCTTGGTTCGACTTCCAGGGCCCACAGGGCCTCCCACCGTCCCAGCGGATTCAGGCTACAACAGCTCAGTAGCGGGGCCATCAACGTGCCGGACAAGAACGACGAGCGTCGCTTGTCCAAGCAGGCCCGAACCAGGAACATGTCTGGCAGACACGGTGAAGGGGGTGTGATGCGCTCTGCGCCCAAAACGGGGCACGACATGCACCTGTTTTGTAGAAGTCCTGTGAATTTGATTTGAAGGGGATGGTGTGGATACATGGTGCCAGAGCTGCTTGGCTGCGCTTTCCTTGCCAGCACTGTGTTCGTAGGATGAAATGAACTGCTAAGCACGGGTTCGTAGGTGGGCTTGGTCACAGCAATGACCGTCCATACTTCGCCTGATCAGGTCATCTGAGACGAGCCCGTTCTCTGCAACCCCAAAACGCCACAAAACGCCACTGGCATGCGCGAGACGGACCAAACACCTCGGACGGACTTCGAAACGGATGCTGCGGAGCCTCCGCTTCGCCAGACATGCAGGTTTTGAGCCTTTCTTGCAACTGCCTCTCCTTCGACTTCATGGGGACCATCCCTGATGATACCTCCGACGAGCAGGGCACCGCCCGGGCTCCCGGGCGCAGTTCCGGGCGGCACGGGCGGCACGGGCGTCGCGGCCCTGAGGGCATCCTGCTTTGGTGTTCTCCTTCCTGTGAGGGCCTCACAAGCACTAGGTCAATGGTCCAACATGTACAAGAAGGTGGGTGAAAGCGTACCAATTGTGGTAAAAGTGTCGAGATGTGGAAGGAGTAAAGAAACGTCCGTTCTTCTCACCGGAAGGACAGCTTGGGAGTTCTCATCTAGGGACATCTTCATTTATTTGCGAGAGAGAATAGGACAAAACTCGGTGTTGCATAGCTGCAAGTCAATGGTGAACATTTTTATTGGTCAGAATGGACAAATAATCCTTGTACCAAGGGAGGACCAGATTCTTCGGTCCAAAAGCCGTCGCTGCCCACGGACCAAAGCTCCTCCTCCGTTGCAGGTCATGGTCCCTCACAGTGAGCAGCTCAGATCGGCCGCTGCTGGCGGGTTACCTACTCAGTCGTTGCAATAGATAAGAAAAATAGATAGATAGAAAAATAGATAGATAGATAGATAGATAGATAGATGGCCATGAGTCAAAACGTTTTGGTATGGAACATGTACTCTTGAACATCTCGTTCCATACCCCGTTCCATACCTGTGGAACAGCATGTCTGTTCGCCGTTCCATACCCATCGTTCCATACCTATCGATTCCTAGTCTACAATTGTTCGAGGTTCAATCAAAATGTGCGCTTTGCTTGCTGAAATACATTTACGGTGAGAAACGGGACTGAGATGACACGTCAGGTTTTTTTGGTACAATGTGTTCCATACGCCCGTCCCATACCTGTTCCATACCTTATGGAACAAGGGATCTGTTCCATACCCTATAGAACAGGAAGGTGCGCGATGTTCACCTGAGACCCGGAGTTTTGACGCACACCCAGATAGATAGATAGATAGATAGATAGCTTCATTGATAGATTGATCGATTGATTTGACATCGACAGCATGGTATGCTTTGAGCATTAGTACGCGCTCTTCGACTTCTTTGTCTCGATGTTTGAGGACTTCTTCCGAACACATGTCCATGTCGCACCATCCATGTGATGGAGAAAGTGACATACCTAATCATGCTATACACATCCTTTCACATCATTAACTAAATATATATATATACATAATTCAAGATATAATATACTCTGTGGTTTTGTGGGGACTCTGGACTCACAACAGCGAATCACCAACCCCTCGGGTTTGTGCAAGTTGTTCCCAACTGAAGGCGAAACGAACGCAGTTTGGATTCCTACTTCAATGTATCAGTATGTATCAGTGCTCTTCCTAGTCCATGTGCTAAGAAGCAGGAGGGTGCACCGATAAGATCAAACAAGAAGATCCAGCGTAGCAGGCGTAGCAGCCAGATGAACAGTCATTGAGAGTTTCTTGTATTGAAGAACGTATTCCGTCTAATTACTTCTTGTGAGTGGCGGAAGAGCTGGGCATCGCCCTTTTGTCTTTTTTGCCTTTTTACTTGGGGGATTCTTTTCCTAACTTCCCCACTTGTATGGCCAGTGGCGCAGAAAAGCATTCAGTCCGTAGAAAGCTCAGTGTCTTACCCTATAACCCGTTGAGGCAGTTGGTCGACCGGTCAAATGCTTTGTGATGCAGTGTTGAGTCACATGGACGGGATTTGGTGGCGATCCTGAGGCTGGAATATGCTGAGGGATGATGGGATCCCGAAGCTCTTCTTTGACATGTTTTCAAGGACTCAGTGTGGTTGTGGAGCTGGCTTGAGGTGTTCTTGCGGTGTTCGGATGGACTGCAAGATAGGCATAGGCGCCGGACTCACATCATGAGATCCTCTGTGGTTTACTGAGAGATGGGGCGCGGATGGATGAGTATGGATGGGTATGGCTCGTCTTGGACCTGCATGGGGGTGAAATCGAAAGGAGATCGGAAAAAAGAGAAGGCGACACAATTTTGTCTTCGCTCCAAATCCAGTTCTCCTAACAATCCGTGTTTGGAGCCGTGCTACCAGCACCTCACATTCCGGGTGTCCATGTTGTCTAGTCCCGAAAAGAGGTGGATTCGTCCATTCACCACCCCCAAGTATTGGGGATCCAGGTAGAGTCTGGTTCTTTGGGATCGCATAGGACGACGTTTCCACCGATCTGAGAACCTTCTCGGGATCCCATGGTGCTGAGGAAGGTCCTAACGGACCGAAGAGTCCTCGCGACGGTTGGAGCGCACGACACGACCCCCCCCCACCGTTCCACCGCGTGTCCCGTTCGAAAAAAGACCCGGGACGGATCCCTGGGTCTGCCCCGGGACGGGCCACGCACTGAACATCCATCCACTCCCCGTTGCAAGCATCAATGTCTTAAAAGTCCTCCTTAAAAAGCCCATGGCATCAAGCATGGTACGACTTCGGGATTCTGAATTCTTGCCTGAAACATGCCCTTCCAGGGCATTTTTCATGGCATTGGTCGAGTTTTGTCTCTCATCGCCAAAGAACATGACCTCATCCACCATCCAAAAAGGGCTAGATCGATGCACCACGTCGCCTTTGAACCGAAGAGCTCGCGTGTGCCGCGGCGGGCGTAGCTCGCGGTGGCTGCGAAAAGAGTTGGCTTTCAAGGTTTGGGATTGGTAGGAAGGAGATGGATCTCAAAGCTCTAAATCCAAAGGTTTTCCATCTATATTGGCACTTGAACAAGAGGAACATAGTAACAGTGGATCAATATTTCAGTGATTTCATTCAAGACAGGCCCCCCAAAGACCAGTGAAACAACAACGGCAAAGCAGACAAAAGCAAAGACCAGAGCATGTTCTCAATTCTGATCGTGTGACCTGTTTGCGTCCTTTCTTTGCCTTGTCATTTGCATTGTTTTGTGTTTTTTCAATTTTCTTAGGCTCGGCTGAGGAAAGCATGCTATGAAAGGAAACCAAACCTAAGATGCTTTGCTATTGTTTAAATAACATGCGATGATTTGAGGTTTGGCTGTGTACTGTAGCGCTGACGCTTGAGCCGATGGACTAAGCCGATGGACTGAGCGGATGCGCAAGTCGGGCAAGTCGGGCCGTTTGCTGCTGCGACAGGCCACCAACGGTTGGAAGAAACGCTAATGCTTGGGAGTTGGGAGTGGAGTACCTTGCTGTGAGGCTTCCTAGGTTCAAATGTCAACCTAGCCAGGTCTGTTCTCATTGCTTTGTCCCTGGAAGTCGACAGAACACGTCTGGACCCGGACCCATTCGGACTCCGCTGCTTTCGCGGGTTTCGTTTTCCTCGCCTCGTGCCCTCTTGGGGAGGTGGTCTTGAACCATGGCCACTCGGTGCCTGGCTTTCCGCTGGGCTCCATGCGCCGCTGGCTGGAGCTCCTGCCCTCCAGCGAGCTCTCGAGGCGAAGAAGCGGTTCGGCACCGGAAGGGGTTCACAAAGAGTCACAGGTTCGGTACCTAAAGGACCCTCTTCAGAGGGTTGGCTGGCTTCAATTGTTGTTCTATTTTTTCTACAGTTGATGGGTCACCCGATCTTCTTGGGCGTTCTTTTCTCACTAAGGCTTTATACACATGGTTGCAAATTGATCTCTAGACTTAGGTAAAGACTGCTCCAAGTAAACATGGGGGTCTTAAGAAGTATCAGCTCCCTAGCAGAGCAGGGAATTTCTGGATCCCATGAAATTGCACACTTTCATGGATCCCGCATGGGAGTATCCATGCGCCAAAGGGGATACATGCACAGCTCGCAAGCCGCAAGGTGACAGAAGGATCAAATCTTCATCCAATCCAAAACAATCGAACACCAAGATAGTGAAATATCTTTTGTCAATTTTTGTCAATATCGTCTGAATATATCATATACGATATTGACATATATAGTGACATTGATATTTGCTTCATTTAGGGCATGCGTTTTGCATGGATAGTGACATGCTGCGGGACATGACCAGGGTGTCATGATGGGATCAACACACAGACTCAAATGTTGTGCGGCCACGAAAGCAAGAAAGGTCAAGACCTCAGCTCGGATAACAGTCAGCAAAAGCACAGACCAAACTCTGTATGTCTCATAGGCCTTAGTAGCAGTTGTGGTTGCTGTGACAGACGTGCTAGAAGTAGCGGATTGAACAGAATCAACCTGTTCTTTGGTCCACCACAAGCACAACCTCCAAGGTGGTACGATCTCACCACCCCCACCCCAGCCGTTTCGTCGCCGCCGTTTCGACCCCCTCGGATCCGCAGTCCTTCCTCGTTTCGTTCCTCGATCCTTGCGTGGGAGGGACATGGACCGCTGCACTGTGGTGCTGCCGCGGCCGGGCGATGGCTGGTATGCGCCACCCTCCTCTGGGACGTCGGCAGGCGCGGGGCCGGTGGGGAGGGAAGAGTTCAGACGGTCCTGAACCGAGAAGCGGAACGGTGGGGAGAAGGCGTCCCTTGGTTTCCTCAGGAGAAGGGCGAGGTGACTTGAGCCTTCGTCGATCGGACTGTTGCTGGATGTAACGATCTGATTCGCTTTTGGGGCCGTTTGATGTAGCGTTGGCTTTAGAGGACCTTGTTTTCATATATGTTTGCCTGAACTACCGGGGCTGCCTGTTTGGGGATTTCAAAGAACTCCAAATCCGTGGCAAAATCCCGAACTCGAAACCCGGACGATTCGCTTCTCGGCGTGTTTCGGGTGCTCCTCGCTTCCCAATGTCGGTCGATAGAACCTCCAAAATCACGTCGGTCAATGAGATCCTTGGTCCTTGCATGGCCACGCTTCCACCGATATTGGGAGGACCAAGGAGGACTCTTTCCAACGTGTAGTTACGTGTTCTTCTTATGAAGATACCCGGTCTTTGCTTTCGTGAATGCAATATGTACCAACTCTTGGGAGCTAAGACCGGGGAATGTTTCCATGTCGCTGTACCCGTGATGTTGTGCTTCGAACGGAGGTCAGGGGCCGCTGGAGCCGTTTGGCTGAGGAGTTTAGCGTTCGGGGTCAGTGCAGACATGCAGACAGCGTGCGGGGCTTTTCTAAGAAGAGAGATGCTAAGGCTTCTACTAATCAACAACAATATATACTGTATCTTGGCAAGACTTGACATATCTCCACAACAAGTTGCAAGAGGTACAATGACTGCAAATGACCGTCCTCATGTTCAGCACGCCATTCTCCCGCATGACCGTCCGTCCTTCTTGATGACCCGGTTCACTGGAGCCAGCGACAATTGAAAAACCTCTCTCGCTCTGGCGAGACTGGGAATCCACAGGCTTTGGGGATCCCCAGAGATGTCCAAAAACAGAACGGTAGAACTCCTCCCGGTCCCCGGTCCTCCCTGTCCACCCCTGGTTCCGCCCATGCACCGGCGGTCGCGAAAACCGCCGCCATGTCCGCCGCCTGCTCTTCACGCCGCAGCTCTGCGCCGGAGCTGCGCTCCGCGGCGCAGCTGCAGCTGAGCGCGCCGCGGGCCTCGACGGCGCCGAAAGCAGCCGCGGCGCCGGAAGCATCGGAGAGGAAGACTGAGGCGCCCGGCCCGAGGAAGCTTTGGCTGGATGTTTCAGGTCGATGGTGCGGTGTTTTGAGTGCTGAGTGAGAGAGTGGAAACCGCAAACACTGGACTTGGAGGCTGGCGTGCTGGGAATAGTGGGTCGAGTCAAAGGAATGGAAGAGATTCAGAGGCTCACACTGCGGTGGACTTTGTGTCTTTGGAAGGCCATGAACACCTTTGCAACATGGATATAGGTTGCATCAGAGCCCCTGTTTCAGCCTTCTTTTCAAGTACCAGTCACCGCCATATGGCCTTCCCCCGGTCGAGATAGCACCTGCTTCTGGGGAAAGGGGGCCTTTTGCCACGGTGACTCATCCCATCACCTTGCTCCGTCTCAGCCGTCTGGACCGGTTGGCGTCCGTGTTTAGCGCGGTCCTCGGCCGCAATGCCGAGGACCTCCATGTCTGATCGCTGTGCTGCTCAGACCGCAGGATCTGGGGTTGTACCCGCCCTGCGCGTTCCGCCACGTTCCGCGCCTTCCGCGAGGGGGCGGGGGGGGCCAGAACCAGAACGCCAGCCGCACGTTCGCGAGGGCGGCAGCGGGGCGGTTGGCGAGCACGTTTTATGTCAGATGGGTGAGGCATGAGAGTCGAGATGCCCGGGTGAAAAAGCACCACATTCAGTGTGGAGTTGGATGGATTTCACCACTGGTGTGTAGAATTGATATACTGTAGATGGTGGCACGGTTTCCGATGAAAGGGATTTATTTTTCTATCTATTTTGGGGTATATGGGACCTTGGGTGTTGAGGTTTTTGTGCTGAAAAAAAAGCAGGTTCCGGGTATGTTGAACAAGAGAGTTGCTTTTTTTGAGAGTAGAATCCCTTCAGTTGTGCCTTCACGGCAGTTTTGGCCCAAAGCAACTCAGCTGTCAGTACCCTGCAGTGCGGTGCGGTGCGTTCCATGCGGATCTTTCAAGAACCACCGAAGTGGAGAAATCATGAGATGGATCGACAGAAATCACGCGGGGGACCATTTGCATGACATGTCCGAAATAGAAACGAACTTTGCAATGTTAGATCTTGATGCGCGACCTGCTCAAAAAGAGGGGGTTCATCAACGACATATTGAGGCACAGTCGTTTTCCAACAAAGCAAACATTTGTCTTCGGGATCTTGCTGGCAGTTCCTGCAAAAAATCTCATCAGCCACGTCGTTCTTTTGCGTGAGGTGACTGCGCCCCGCTTGGCAAAACTCGCCGCCGTCAAGGAAGCTGTGCCACGCCCCCGCTGCTCTGCACGTGTGCGGCCATGGCGGAAGACACAGGAGCAGCTGTTAATGCTAATCCCACTGAAGATTTCGCTTGCGCCTGAAGTACAGTAGATTTTTCTGGTTACCAAATTCTGAGGATAGACATGAAATGGTTGATCCCCCAATTGGATGCCATTTCGTTATCTTTTTAGCTGCTTGGCATTGTGCTCGTATCTCTCCATCTATGGTTGGCCCTGACCGTGTTTGTTGTTGTTCCTAGTAGCTTCCTGTGACGTTCGCTACGCGATGGCCTCCAACCGAGGTGAAAGCGTGGTCAAAAGCAGTGCTTTATCTTCAGGAGCAGGTCCGGAGCGAGGTGGAGGCTGCCGACCGGATCTTGATGGAAGGTGCCCGGTGCCACCGACCGGTGGGCTGTGGGCTTCGGCCGAAAGGGTGGTAGGCCACAGGGTGGAGGGGTCAATGGAAGGCCAGGCCAGGAGGTGTGATTCCAGGCGGCCCACGGCCGGTTGTGACAAAGGGGTCCCAATCAATCTCACCAGCGGCCCATGGCCGGCGATTCTCTGAGTGATGGGCAACCTCTCCATCCCCTCTGCTCCAACAGGGCATCCATACTTGTTTGCTGGTCTGGAGGTCCCTGGTTCCAGGAATTGACATCCAATCTAGCCTTCCGGGAAACATGATATCCAAACTAAAGTTCCAGGAGACGGGGGGAGGAATGCTCTAGAAACAGCACAACTACAGGCAACCTTTCGAAAGACGACCTTCCAAGAGAATTTCTCATGTGGGCACCCCAGCTCTTTACAAGTGGTGAGGCCTATCCCAAGCAAATGAACATGAAACCGACATCTAAGTCCACCCTATGCGGAAATCCGACTTCCCAACTTCCAAGGGCGTTTCTTTCGCCGCTACGACCCCCGAGACCGACCCCACCGAGCGCCCGAGGCCGAGCCCAGCAGCTGGGCGTGGACGCCCGAAGCTTAAGGGTTTACTTCCTGGCGCAGGAGGCCCTGGAGGAGCGACCGGCGAGCGTGTGGCACCGGGGCGTTGGCGTTGAGGCGATTTGTTTCCCGAACCCAGGCATCTTGTGAATCTAGTGTGTGGGGCGTTGACCATAGAAGAATTGAACGGAATGACCTACCAAAAAGGTTCAACTTAAGAGTGTCAACTGAGCTCAATTGGGTCCGGGAGGGAGGGGTGGACATGGAGTGATCGATGGAGTACCTGGTCGATGCAGAGAGGAAGGGGCACCAGGAAAGGCCTTTTTGGACCTTTGAACACGTGGTTGGAGCTTGTGACCAATGGATGCACTTCTACTAGACTACTCTTTGGGAGGGTCTCACTTGGGTCTGGGCTGACATTGGGGTCCATCTGTGGTTCGGCCTTTGAGAGAGGCCGAGAAGCCAGAAGGGTGCGCTTGGGGGCGGTTAGGGTCGATTTCGTGACCTGGAGGATTTGGGCCCACCTAGACGGCTTCATCCTTCGATCCAAATCCCCCACCAGCTTCGTCATGCGTCCACGCATGACCGCAAGAAGAACACCCAGCTCAGCACCGCCCACCACCTGCAGGACTCCTCCTTGAAGGGACCTGCTCGGGAGCAAGTGCAGCTTGCGCTTGACCAGCTCCGACAGGTGTTTCTTTCTTTCTTTTTCTCCCGGGACGCGATCGATCCGCTCGATCTGCTCGAGCTCGAAGGATTGGAGGACCCAAGAGGGTAGAGGTGGGTCGGGGTCAGACCAGTCCGCTCGGATCCAAATGGCCAGACCGGAGTGTGACCTCTAGCGCATTCTGGACCAGTTTAGCTTTGTTTCCTAAGAAGGGGGTGACAACTAGGAGAGGAACGGTGAAATTTGGGGGGGCTTCGAAGTGGTGCGCACACGAAAACGTGAACTCGAGTGGACTCGAGGTGTATGTTCTCGTGGGGGGGGTTCACTTGGAAAACGCGTTGGAGTAAGAGGAGCACCCTGTGACAGCGTCACGTGTCTGTGTGTGTGCTTTTCATTTTTACTTGTGAGGACGTCTATATGTGTCACAATGTCTCCAGGACGTGGTGGAAGTTGGTCGGCCACCCCGAAAGCTTGACTTTTTTTCTTGGTGAGTTTGTGGCCTCGCCCGTTTAAGAACCACAAGATATACAATTGATTAGTATGCTTGGGTAGTCCAGTATGTTCTCAAATGAGTATGTTCTCACGCAAATGTCTCTACCAGCTGTCGCGTTTCAACAGTGAATTGGACTGATCTTCTTGGTGGAAAGCTGCAAGACTTGGGTTTCGGACCGTCTCCTCTTCACGAAAGGTAGCTTGAGCTACCTGAGTTCTCCTTGCTTTAGCAAACATGTATTACAATCAGGAGTTGGGATTGTGCATTGAATTTGGTCCTGTAAGAGTTGATTCTGTTCGTCGGGGGGGGGCTCCCCCCCCTCCCTGGATCAAATCCCCCCTGCGCCGGTTCACGCCGTCATGGACTTCTGTGATTGCCTGCTACCTTTCGCTCACCCCCCCTTCCTCTCTCAAGTTGACACCTCCGAGGACGGTCGCCAAACTCTGATGTGTGTTCGGCTGGACCGGATCCCTCCCCGTGTCCTCCCCGTGTTCGTCCGGACTGGGGTCACGTCAGGGGGG